TTTCATCTTCGGGCCTATTGAGGTCGGGGACATTTTTTGGCCCAAAAAGAATGACAGATGTATAGGTATGTTGCATGTTTGGATATCTTGAGATTATTGGTTGAAAAATACAGACTTCGTTGGAAGCTGTGAGATTTCTCTAGCTTTTCTTAAAGCATAAAGGTTAAAGAGGAATCTTGATGAGGACTAACAGGAAAATTTCACATGTTATGATCACTTGCTTGTTGGGTGTTTTTCTTCCCACACTTCCAGATTAGTGATCAGTGTTAATTTGATTATTAGTAATTGTAATCATGGATTGATCTTATATCTATGAAAGATGTAAAGATTACTTTGGTTCATTATTGATAATCATAATGGCTGAATTGTTTGGTTGAAATATCATATGTGGACTATTTTGTTTTATTCAAACAATGGCTACTCTAAAATAAAATATCTGTTTTGTTTACTCAAGAGTCAAAGTTGTTTTGTTTTCTTAAGATAAAAAAAAAATAAAATAAAATAATTAATGTAGCCCAAGTGGTAGAATGTTTGAAAATTTTCTAATTATGGGCTAACATTAATTCTATTTTGGTTTAATCAAACCGAGTAAATGCACACTTAGTCCTACGAGATATGTTATTGGGCTTAATGTGATCATATATTATAGGTCAATACACTTCATTGTTTAATAATCTGGGTTGATGATAGAAGTGTAGGCTTTTGGGTTTTTTGGCCCCGTAATGGAAGGGATCATTAAAACGTTATATATTGGTTAGGTCTCCTCTCCTCTCCCAAACAAAGCGTACGCATTACCCATTTAAAAGTCGTCATTGAGAGCAGATTCTAGAGAGGAAGACCAGTCAAGGATTTAACAAATCTTGCACACATCATGGGTCGGACATGTATTCCTAAAGCCCTAAATCTATTGATTTAGTGTTCTATTTCTATGCATGATTTGTAATTATTTAGGTGTTGAATTTCCGTGTTTTCTAACAATAATAGCCAGTTGAGGATGTTCTATTGGTTGACAATTTGAGGGAGAGCAAAGTTTTGGATGGGACTTGGCAAACAACCTTAAGACAGTAAATATTAGAGATAAAATTCGGCTATTGAGTGAGATGAAATTTTGCGATTGTGTGAGGCAAATCGGTGAGTTGGGATTTTGAATGTTTGAAGGGAGGCCTTGAAGGGTTTGTTTTTTAGGTGGAGAAAGATAGAGAGGGGAGTAGCAGTGAAAGTGGAGGTTAGGGTTAGGGTCCTAGGGTTTGAAATGTAAAATGGGGCTTGGTGGAAGCGGAGAGTAATGTCCATATTTGGATGGAGAAGCCCAGAAGAAAGGTGGCCTCGATCAAGACCCACAGAACCTCTGCTGCATTAAGAGACTCTTCAGATTTTTATTTTAATTGTAACCAATTATAAAATTAACTAATATAACTTATTTAATTTATATATTTTGAAAACAAAATATTTTTATATTTATTTGGCAGATGGGTTTGACGGATTTTTTTTTTAATATTCTTTGATTTTTTTAGTTGATTTTTTTGTTTGTTTCACGGCTAGATCTCCACTATCGCCGCTATCGACATTAGTGGCAAATCACCAGCAATGGCTTACGGTGGGTAAGATATTTTGTTAAGTTTTAAACTTTTATTGTTGTTGGAGTGTTTTAACTAAATCTGAAATATAGAAAGTCAAAAAAATTATTCACAAAATAATATTATGTTAATATTAAAAAAATGAGAGTACTTTAATAATTTAATAATATACCCATTAATTTATTCCTCCCAACCAAATATATTAATATAATATACTCACCAATTTATTTTAATCAACCAAATATATTTCTCAAAACATTCTTAATACTCTTTAAAAAAATCTACCTTCAATTACTATAATATATTCGGGAATACACTATTCTCTTATCAAAGACACCCTTAAAACTTCCCTTGTCGAAATAGAGAATTTGGAAAGACACGTGGCAGGGAAGTGACGATCTTGCATACGTTTCTTGCATATATTTTCTAGAAAAGAGGGGAAACCCAGGTCCTTTTCATATTAATTGAAAATGCAGATAATTTATTTTACTTTTAGTTTTCCCTTTTGATCAATATGAATATGATTTTTTTGTTTTCCCATTTCAAATTCTCAATATCCAAGTTTAGACCCCACCAGACCTTATAATCTCCAATAATCAATTACTTTCTCCCCATTTATAAATCCAACACTTTTCTCTTTTTCCTCACATCCAAATCTAATCAAACTCATATTCATCACAAATTTTTAATCTTTTATCACCCATGTCGCTTCATCTTCTTACTTCATTTCTCCTTTTAATTTTCACTTCACTCGTCTTCTTTCTCATAACCAGAACTAGAAACTCCAAACCTGAAGGTTCATCATCTTCATATCCTTCCACTAATGTAATTCTTCCAAAGTCCTACCCAATAGTGGGCTCTTTTTTCTCTTTTCTAGCCAACCAAAACCAGTTACTCCAGTGGGTAACTTCTATTCTGCAAAATGTTCCTTCTGCAACATTTACCTTGCAGAGGTTAGGAGGCCAGGTCACTATCTTGACAGCCAATCCGGCTAATGTCCAACACATCCTCAAAACTAACTTCTACAATTACCCAAAAGGCGACGGATTTCGATCAACTCTATTCGATTTTTTGGGTCATGGTATTTTCAATATTGACGGCGAAGAATGGAAGTTTCAAAGACAAATTTCCAGCCACGAATTCAATACCAAATCCCTCCGTAAATTTGTCGAAACTGTAGTCGAAACTGAACTCTCCGATCGCCTTATTCCCATTCTTGAAACGGCGGCTGCCAATAAACAAGTGCTCGATTTTCAAGATGTTCTTCAAAGATTTGCTTTTGATAATATATGCAAGATCGCTTTCGGGTACGATCCGGAATATCTATTGCCATCTTTTCCAGAAGCCAAATTCGCACAAGCTTTTGACGAGGGTGTTAAAATAAGCAGCGAAAGATTTCGAGCGACTTTACCAATAATCTGGAAAATTAAACGGCTTCTCAATATTGGCTCCGAAAAGCGTCTAAAACTTGCAGCTTCTGAAGTCCGAGAATTCTCAAAGAACATCATAAAAGAAAAGAAACTAGATCCTGGTGAGTCTATGGATCTTTTGTCACGATTCTTGAGTTCGGGCCAATACGACGATGACTTTGTAACTGATATAGTCATCAGCTTCACACTCGCCGGTCGAGACACTACTTCAGCCGCTTTGACGTGGTTCTTCTGGCTCATCTCAAAACACCCTGAAGCCGAAAAAGAAATTCTCAAAGAAATCAAAGAAAAATCAAACACGCCAGTTTATGAAGACATCAAAGATATGGTGTACACGCACGCATCACTCTGCGAGAGCATGAGATTCTACCCACCTGTTCCTGTAGACTCCAAGGTAGCGGAGAAGGACGACGTATTGCCGGACGGGACGGTTGTGAAGAAGGGCATGCGAGTGGCGTATCATCCGTACGCGATGGGGAGAATGGAGAAGCTGTGGGGAAAAGACTGGAGCGAGTTCAAGCCAGAGAGGTGGTTGAAGAGGGAAGAAGAGGACACGTGGAGCTTTGTGGGGAGGGATTCATATACATATCCGGTGTTTCAGGCAGGACCGAGGATTTGTTTAGGGAAGGAGATGGCGTTCTTGCAAATGAAGAGAGTAGTAAGTGGGGTTTTGAAGAGGTTTAAGGTGGTGCCAGTGATAGAGGAGGGTGTTGAGCCGGAGTTTGTGGCGCATTTGACGGCCAAGATGAAAGGTGGGTTTCCGGTCAAGATTGAGGAGAGGAACGAGTCCAAGTGACAGTGGGTGATTATAATGATTATGATCGGAGTTTCTTGTATTTCCGTTCGGATTATTTTCTTCCGTTTCTTTTTGTTTTAATTGCAGCAATAATGATTATTAAAACAATAAAATGAAGTTTTAATATATACTATTAAAACATAAATTATAAATTAATATATATTACTAAAAACATAAATTATAAAATCAAAAATCAAAATAACAATTTTTATAACTACATCTTTATAAAGTTATAATATTTTTTATAGTAATAAGTTTTTGTATCTATATAAAAAATTTACTAATATTTTTAATTTGGTGTTATATTATGGATAGATCAAAGTTGACTTTGGTTGATTAGTAGTTTAATAGTAGTGAATCGAAGTATTATATATGAGTAGATATATCCAACATCTAACTAATGCCTTTTTATATATATATATTAATTAAAACTGATTTTTTTTTTAACTTGTTCTAATGCATATTTATTATTATTTGTTTCACAATTTTTTATTTAAATAATGCTACTCTAACAAAGTTTATATACACGAAAGCTTAGTATATACAGTAACATGGCACACTATGATTGAAAAGTGAAAATACGAAGTTAATTCATTAATTAAGGGGAAATGTCACCTTAATTGTATACTTAATTTTATATATAAACTTCAGAAGAGTAGTACCACTTTTCTTATTTATAAAAACATAAAAAGTATGAGGGGTATTACATGTAATAAGTAATGTTTCGTTCACAACTTAATCTACAACCTTCTCTCACAATCTTAAATATGATAATTCACAAATTGGCAAGAAAGACCTATAACAAGCAAACAATATCTATCTATGAACTGATCTAATTACAAACTGTCCTGTCGAGTTTGTTTTAATGAAATCATTTTTTAATTATATATAGTTTTACAGTAGGGTCGAAACAGACCACCAATTTAATCACATCACACTCTTTTTGCAGTACATAAACATGCACATACCATAAGTACTTTTTTTTTATTCGGGCATTAATCATCGCTGAGAAGGAGCTCTTAAATAACTGTTTTAGAAAATTTACGAATATAAATTCCCATACATTAAACTTAAGCTAGCTGCGTGTAATAGGAAAAAATAGAAAGGATGTCACAATTGTTAAAGGTTAATGCTTGGTTGTTGGTACAATCTTTTAAGAGGTCCAACCCAGTATCCGTGACATCAGAACCACGAAGATCAACAGAGAGTAAAGAAGACGACCCTGGTGAAGCAATAACATCCATCCAACTATCCTTCACTCCAGGATATTCACCCAACAAAACAACCTACAAACATAACGCGGCTACTTTAAAACGGAAAGCCTCCATCAAGAGCTAAACAAAGTATAGCAGCTTAATTATAATCAGTACTTCAATGCTCAAACCACCCACAAAGTCTTACCTGTAGAGCACAATCTCGGAAAGCTTCCACAGAAGCATCAGTAAGACCATGAGAAGATATCAATTCATTGAAGATTTGTTGGCTTATATATGTCTTCTTTATTGCCAACCTGCAATGAGGGAACAGTAGAAGTTGTATAATTTATGAGTTGTAGGGCACTTCTATCAAAAATAATGGCATACACAACAGTCATGACCACCCATGTCAAAACTCCTACAAACACTCATAAGGGAATATATATTCGTTTTCCTAAAACATGGATAAGATATTGAGGTGTTATACAATTATTGAGGTGTTATACAAACATTAAGAAAGTTTGGAGTGGCTAAAACTGGTCATATACATCATCCCTACGGTAATAGACAATGAGGAATGTCACCAAGGAAAGACACCTGCATACGACTAATAATCCCAGGGAAAGGAAAGGCCATCATTAATCAAATATTAAATTCTTAAAACTAAAGGGTTTATTTTTTGAAAAGTAGGCACAACCATGCAGGAAACTTACTAGAACTGCCCAAAAGGGTACTCTGTTACTTTTCAAGGGGTATCTAAGATCAATCATCATATCCTTCCCAACAAAACGGTAAAATGGTTGCATAAGCAAGAGGATGGAAATTATCACCACAAGAAGCAAAAGTATCAGCCAATCATGCATGTGTGTCCTTGCAACTCTAACTCCATGAGACTTGACAGTATGCGAAACAATCTGGGCCTCCATCATTCTGTTCGGTGTATTATACACATCAGAATAAATTTGGATTAATTGGATATCAAGCTATTAGCTCATCCAAAAGGCATATTCAATTAAATAAGGAAACTTATTGTGTTTTATTTAGCTATCTGTGAGCATGGTCTAGGTTTTTCTTTCTAACATTGACCTATATAAAGTTCAGATTAATTCATTATATGAGCATGAAAGTTCTTTCTTAAGTTTTGCTATTATGTTTATATTAGTAATCTAATAGTTGCATTGTTATTTAATCATCAAAATTAGTAGATAAGATTATATAAAGAGACAAAATATGCAGATTCAAAATCGAATAAAGAAATAGTGTCTCATCTACCATTTAAACTGCTTTTTGAGGATCCATTACATTGTATCCATCTCTTAGCTTCACCTCCTTCAGCTCCACCTCAAAGTGCCTTGCAAATTTCTCCCAGCACACCTAACGAAAGAGACTTTATGTTATAATTAATTAATGATAATTCATAAATGGGAACAGTTAAAATCACATTTGGAGTAATAATGAGTACAGAAAGAAAACGCACCATTTAGATCGACCGACCTTGGGCTTTTTGTCGATGGCGGAGATGAGATCGGAGAGGAGATCGACGCAGAGGAAAGGGTCAGGCGATTGTTGCGATGCGGAGGCGACTACAGACTCTAGCTGCGCCACCAATACGGTAAATCACAAGACCGGAGTGGAAGAATTGAGAGGTCAACGGCAAGTGCCGGAAGTAGGACGACGGTGACGCATCTGGAGGTGATTTTGGTGTCGCATGAAGGAGGTGATAGAGCAGTGGCATGTGAGATGGAGAGCGAGTGAATCGACAGAGGTGTGATTGTAAGAGCCGAAGATGGATTTTTGGAACTTCCACTAACCTCGCTTTACTTCAATGGAAGCTCTTCGATTGCCAATTGAAATAGGAGAAGCCTAAGACAGCAATGCAATTCAATATTAGACAAAGCACCATCAAGGAACTTCAAAAATCAGAGATGCTAATAATATTATAGCAGTTGAAGCTTTGCAACATTCTTCAAAAAATTCTTAGTGCATAGAGCACAAATTCATGAAAAGGATAACTGACATAACATAAATATACACAGAAAAGGACATCTTATATTAGTAATATAGCAAATTTTGTCTCAGCAGCAACGTCATTAAATTGAAGGAAAAAAAAAATGCATTACATTTCTAAACTTTCATTTCAAGACAAACATCACATCCAGCTGAGGATTACCAGAAAAAAAAAGGGGCAAAAAAAGAATGTGCTACATTATGCAAATTATGGTCCACAAGCATTTTATGAACATCTTTAAAGTTCTCAGAGTTCTTATTATCCACAGATGTTCTCCATCTCAATTTTATGTTTGTCATTACATTCAAAATTTTGGTTAAAGCACCTACAAAAATCCAACCAAGCATTGAAAAGATGCAACTCTTGCAAAGAAATTTTTTTATAAAGATTTTAAAGTATCTGAAATTATCACCTAAAAATGTAAACAAACCATTCTCAACTCAGAAAGCAATAGAAACAATAGTTTTCAGTTTACTCTTTAATAAAGGTAGATGGCCCTAAAATATCCCAAATTTTAGCTTTCACACAACTAATAAAAGTCATTAGGAGATCACAGAACCAGACTATAGAATATAAGCCAGTTTCAAGCAAGTAGTTACAAAGGGCAAGACGGAATCTATGCGAGGTTGCACGCCATAAACTTAAGGTTAATTAAAGGCAGAAAGAGATTGGCGAACCCAACTATTGACAGCAAAAATATCAAACTACCAGGAAATATGATACAACCAATGGAAGAAAAAGGCTGTACCTTGAGCACACTTTGCACTGAACTGGCAGATTCAAATTCTACAAAACCGAAACAGTTCCCTGTTTGCTGTAGAAAGAAGTATGTCAACATGTGAATGAGTATCATGCCAAAAATATAGAAGGGCTCAAAATAAGTTTGAAAAAGACCTTCTGACTTCTAACTTGAATGCCATCTGGTTTAATAGGCCCAAATTGCTCAAAAACCACCTTAAGTTGTCCAACTGTTGCAGTATCAAGCAAGTTTCCGACAAATATGGAGTGACCCTTAACTGCTATATGTACAATGAAAATCATTAAGACAGAAGCAGTAGAGAAATGACTGTGTACATGTATAATTCCCAAATCACACAAGATAAGAATCTACTGATGTAGACGAAATGAAATAAAAACCAGCATTATTATTGTTTTTATCCACGGAATTGTTGCTATTAGGAGCAGTTGCTATAGCTGCTGCTGCAGTGACCCGTGATTGTTCCACAAGTTTAACAGGTGGAACCCTCAGAACAACATCAAATGGAGAATTACTCTTTTTCAAATCATGTACCTGAAAAATATCAATAAGAAAAGACACATTTAAAAATGTTAAATGATCATGATATTTGTAAGATGCCTATATATATTAGCATACCACTGATGCAAAAGATTTCTTGGGGACTTCGTCTTGTGTTTTAGAAGCAAGGGTCTTTGTGACCGGAGGGGCATCATTCTGGCTTGAAATGATTGGATGCTCTGGAACAACCACTTTCTCAGCCACCAAAACTTTTCCATTGTCCAATGGATGACTGACTTCTTTGCCGTTTTCAGTGTCCTCATTTGCAGGGGTTGGTGAATTGTGATTCACAGCATGGTTATTGGGAGCATGAATTGGCTCTGTGACAAAACCAGAACAATAATTTTTTTTTTCAAACACATTAATAAAGAAAGCAATGCCACAATTGAAACCGAGCAACCGAAAAATTAAAATGCAACTTAGGACAGAGAAACCTACCAGGATCAGCAGCCAAAGGAGCTGTTGGAGCACTTTCATCAGCTTTATTATTTACAACCCCTCTAGATTCTTCGTTGTCTTCCATTTAATGATTTTCATCCGCATATCTGAAAACATCATTTAAGACAAAGTATCCTTTGTCTTGTGGAGCTAAAAAAAATGATTTGAGTGAATTTCCTTCTCAAATTATCCTTTGCAAGCAAACAACCAGTTACCAAAACAATCAATCCCTTATTATACGAACCTTGAGCATCAGCAGAAAATATCTGGACCTTAAAATTCTGATAGTCCATAGACAAAATCTTGTCATTTATGCCCTGCTCCAGAAAGGAAAAACACCAATTAATTAAAATCAATTAACATAAAAAAAACAAAGAAAAAATCAAAATTAACCGCCTTATAAATTAAATAAAAATAAAAATATACGGACAAACATGAATGTGCTTCTGTGTGGTTCAATTATGCCCTAACTTGAAATTTGACTTAGTTTGACTTGTTGATATGGTGTGAACCCAGTTAAAAGAGCAGTAACTATATACAAATATTGTTACAGTCAGCTTACTTTGATGGTCTTCTCATAGCACCGGAAGGATCTGGCCGGCTTAGCATATTTGATTCCTGATAAAATCTGTGAACATTATCAGGTGATTGACAAAGAATACTGTAGTATTGCTCCACAAAGGCATTCCCAACTACTTCGGGACTTAAGGCAGAAGAATCTGCCTGCATTGCCATCTTTACAACACAGAATACGAAGAATCAGCTATGCATTGCAAAAAGAAGTAACCCTCTTTTTGAGTCTTACAAAAGAAAATCATAACTGAGATACCATAAATATTGAACTCAAACAATTTCTACAATATCAAACTCTTAGAGATAGTCAAAAAGCAAGAAAGTTAATAAACATTAAAAAAGAAAAATTGTTAGCCAAAATAGGAATCTGAAACACATAATTAAGCTTGGGAAAAACTTCTAACCGAGCAAAATAAGGACCAACCCAAAGGCTCAATCTAAACCCTAAAACTAAATATTAAATCCTTTTTGGTAACTTCAAGTGAACATTTGGAATACTGCATTAATATCACATTAAACCACGTATCTATTGTGGTAATATTTAGGGGCATGTTTGGCTTATTATTTCTGCCCATATTCTCAATCATATTCTCTAAATAATGTTTGGCACATTATTTCAGAAATATTACCTTATTTTTTTTAATTACTTTTAGACCTCATAAAGTTATTTATTTCATTAAACATACCCTGAAAAAAGGTTTAAAAATTAGCAAAAACACCCCTGCGACCCATACTTGCCAGATTCCGGCAACCACTTTCTGTGGTAGCCAGAATCTGTACAGCGGCCTACCTGCCGACCAAATATGGTCGGAAGTTCATCGATCTGGCTGTGAACGACGGCCAAATCTTGGCCATCGTTGACCAAAAACGACGGTCATATCTTTGGCCGTAGCTAACGGCCAAAGATGGCCATCGTTTTGGCCTTTTCCGGCCGTCGCGGCCACAGCAGGCCATAGATCTGGCCGGAAAAGGCCATAACGACGCGTTACGACACTGATCCGACCGGTCTATGTCATAACGCGATTTTCTGGTCAGATTCTGACGGTGGTGGCCGGAATCTGGCACTGCAGGTGGTAAGGGTGTTTTTGTCATTTTATATATTAGGGTATTTAATTAAATTAGCAAACTTATGGGCTTTTTCATAAATTTTTAAATTTTATCTCGTAATACTCCCCTATCCAACTACCCAATATTATTTCTAAAATTCTATCCAAAATAATAAACCAAACGCACCCTAGAATACTAATGCAATACATTAATATCTTATTAAACCAAGAATACCAATGCAATGTATTAATATCTCATTAAACCAACATCCTATGTGTCACTCAACCAAGGTATGCTTCCGGATCCTACGTGGCGAGCAATATCCTACTAGAATCCTACAAGGAATCCAAATGGCGATCAATAACAAAGGTGGGCTTCAGAATTATATAGATACTTAATGATTCTTATTTACCAAAAGGGTTACTAGCCCTCAATCGACGGTGCCAGAAGGTTATGGAGTTTATACATGTGAGAAATTATGATAGTCGACCTACTCGGAGATAGTCGATCAATATGGTGATCGGTCGAATCTATGGTCAAGACCCTCCTCTTATCCCTCACACACATACACCCACGCACATTTTAACATCATCTAAGAAGGGCTAGTGGAAATAGTAGCACATTAGAAATATAAAGGATGATATGGCAGTTTTACAAACTATGTGAGTTCTTTTTGTTATTCTCACCATTATTAGAATATTGCGACATCCTTAAGGTTAAAAGAGAGTTTAAGTGTATGAGAGAAGCATAGAGAGAATGGGAAATATTAAGGGTGCATTTGTTTCCCTATTTTCCCCCTTTCCTATTCCTATTATTTCCAAAATACACATTTGTTTCCCTATTCTGAAAATACCATGGGTGCGTTTGTTTCCATATTTTTCCCCTATCCTATTCCCATCATTTCCAAAATACACATTTGTTTTCCTATTATGAAAATACTATTATATTATATTTAATTATTTTTAGACCCCCTAAGTTTTTTAATTTAACTAAACACCTCAAAAAAAAGTTTAGAAATTCATAAAAACACCCCCACCACCCACATTTGCCAGATTCTAGCCACCATAGTCGAAAGGTGGTCGGAATCTAGTATAATGGCACACTACCGGTTAGATCTGGCCGGTAGTGTGCCGAGATAGCCTTTTCTGGCCAGACCACTGTGAATCTGGCTAGAAAAGGCCAGATCTACAGCCAAAGATTTGACTGTTGATGGCCAATTCTTTGGCCGTTGTTGACGACCAAACGTGGCCAGATTTGGCCGTCAATGGCCAGATCTAGCCGTAGATATGGCATTTTTTAGCTAGATCCACAATGGATTTGGCTAGAAAAGGTCATCTCGACGCACGACCGACCAGATCCATCTAGTCGTGGGTCAATACGGTGACTCTGGCCACCCTCCGACAGTGGTGGCTGGCTGTTGGTATTTAATGGGTGGGTGGGGGTGTTTTTGTAATTTTTAATGTTTTTATTATAAGGGTGTTTAGTAAATTAACAAACCTAGGGGGTGTTTTTAGTAATTTTCAAATCTACCTCGTTATTACCACCTAACTCTTATTTTTTCAAAAATACTATCCAAAATACTAAAACAAATGCACCCTAAACTATTAGAGGGCGTTTGGTTAGGGGTTATATGAGATTACTTAGGTAATGTCATCTTATATTATTTGATTATCATGTTTGGTTGTCAAGTAATATAAGATTATGGTAATCTTCCAATACCAATAGTAGTTACTATTGGTAATATTGAAGGTAATTTGATTACCTCCATTTACTTAGGTATTGTAAGATTACTTTGTTATCTTATTTTTGTTTAAAATTTTTTCTTTTAATAAACTTTTTAGACAATAATGCCTTTATTTTAAAATCAATTTACATTAATCCACTATTACAATTTTACTCTTATTTAATTAAGTTTTTAGACAATAATACCCTTATATTTAAAACAAAATACAGACCACCACTACCACCCAGCCACCACCATCGATAGTTGGCCAACCACCACCAGCTGCCACCAAAATTCTTCGGAAGTCACCGGGACTCACTGACAGTTGCTGAGAGGCTTTGATATGGCCATTTCTAGCCATATTGATGGCAAAAAACGAACATATCGGAGTAGATCTGGCCGGAAATGGCCAAATCTATTATGGCCATCTTCAGCCAGAGGGTTTAGGATTTAATAGCCAGATCCATGGCTGTTAACGGCCAGATCTGGGCCAGATTTGGCTGTTAACGGCCATGGATTTGGCAATTAACAGCTAGATCTACTCAAATATGGCCGTTTTTTTTTCCATCAATATGGTCAAAAATGGCAATATCGACAACTCACGGGGACTCCCGACGATTTCCAACGACTTTCGACGACTTCCGATGGCGGAAGGTGGTGGCTGGCGGTTGACAGTGGGGGTGATTTTGTTATAAATTAAAATTTTATATAAACTGAGGTGTTTTAGCTAAATCTAAAATGTTGGTAGTTAAACCGAATTATTCAAAAATTAATAATAAAAATAATATTATATTAATATTTAAAAAGAGGGCAATTTGGTAATTTAAATAACATACCCACCAATTTATTCCAACTAACCAAACATATTTTCCTAAAAATTCCTAATAATCTTCAAGGTAATTTAACTTTTCATTAATATAACATTCTCAGTAATCCAACATTCCTTGAACCAAACGCACTCTTAATGTGACTAAATGACAAGGCCAGATTCATTGGGTCAGATTTTTTATGAATTGCTCATCTTTGTTGATCTAATAGTGATGATTGATGTTGAGTTGACATCATATTTGAGGAGCCGTTTGGATCGAGGGTATATAAGATAATGGGGATAATCTTCATTTATTTTGCAAGATTCCGGTGTATGGTTTGCAAGTAATAAAATATTACGGTAATCTTTTATTGCAAATAGTATTTATTGTTGGTAATGTGGGGGGTAACCTTATTACCTTGTTAAGGGGTGTTATTAAAATATTATCGGGGTAATCTAATTTTTCTACCCATTTTGCCTTTAATTAAAAAGCATTTCAGACATAATTGCCCTCAAATGTCTACCAAATAACAATTAGCCTAACCCCCTACATTTGAGAAATTAGCTAAAACACTCTAGCCAAAAAAAAGTTTACAAATTAATAAAATACCCCCAGCCACCCAAGACTACCGTCGGCCGTGACTCACCATCGTCGACTGCTAGCGTAAGTCATCGTAATGGTGCACGACCGGCAGGATCTGGCCGGTCATGCGCTAGTAAGGCCTTTTCTAGCCTAGCGTTTCTATGGCCGTGAAAAGACTAGATCTGTGGCCGTGAAAAGACTAGATCTTTTGGCCTTGAAATGCCATGGCCACATCTTTGGCCGTGAAATGGCCATAGATCTGGCCGTTTTTCGGCCATGGATTTGTGATCCATGGCCATTTTTGGCTTTGCTGGCACACGGTCGACCATATATGGCCAATCGTGCGCCATTCCATTGACTGTTGGCGGCAGCCGACGGTGGTGGTTAGCTGCCGGCAGGAGCTTGGGGTGGGTGAGAGTAATTTTGCTACAAATTAAAGTTTTATATAGCTGTGGTGTTTTAGCAAAATTTCAAATGTAGGGGGTTAAAAGAAATGATTCAAAAAATAATAATAATAAATACTATTATATTAATTTTTAAAAAGGATGACAATTTAGTAATCTATATAACATACCCACGCATTTATTCTTCCAACCAAAATATTATTCACCAATTTATTCGAATCAACCAAACACATTTTCTAAATATTCTCAGTAATTATGTTTATATGATTCAAACGCCTCCTAAATGTAACCTTTTATCATTGTTGAATATATATATTTACAGACTACAGTAACTCCAATAGAGTAGCATAAGTTACTGGAAAATCTCATCTTTAATACTCATCTAAAACAACTATTTTCACAAATGATCAGAAACAGAAATCGAAAATGGATGTTTCATTAGGAGTTTTGTTGCAGTTCAATTATGTAAGCCTTGGTATTTGAGAAATTATTTGTTACTTTGGCAGCCATCTTCCCGTAAACTGCACGGCAAAATGAAAAATAAAAATCAAACTAATAAATAAATCCGAAAATGATATTGTTAATCATAATTC